CCTAACAACATTCATTCTCATTTGGCAACCAGGGGACTTTGGATAACCTCAAAATATGAATCCCCCCTAATCTTCCAGAAATGATATGTCAGCCCAGGAGATTAACACCGAGGCACTCTGCAGAAGGAATCAGCTGTGTGCAGAAATGCTTCCCTAAATGTCTCTGTAAATACAGCCTGGCAAGGGTGGGTTATCTATGAGATGAGTGCCTCTCTATGCCTTCAGGAGGCATTGGCCAGGGGGAGAATTCTCTGCCTTTAAGATTCCTTTAAGACATGTTTTTGTTTTTTTTTTTTTTTTAATTGCTTGAAACAAAGGTGAACCTTTGCCCCCTTGCTCTGGTCAATGTGTTCTAGTCCTTCATCCTCAGAATCCAGGGAGTGAAGTGGCTCTTCACAGTTCACTGTCCTGTGAACAATCAGAAAAATCTACCCAGACATGACCTTTGTTTAAGAAGACAGACTTTTTTTGATCATTTAAGGGGAACTGATGCGTGTAGGTCTGAGGCGTTCAGTTACAGGGCACATGTGACCTGTGGAGTTTGATGTTTGGCATGCTCAGCCCCAGGCCACTTCCTGGAGTCACAGCCCAGAGGTGTCCCTCAGCCCTTTGGTCAGGTCAAGGGGTTTCATGGGATAGGCTAGTGCCAGTCTTTTACTAGAACATTCTGTTATGTCTCCTTCTGTGGGCACCAGTGCCTTCCAGACACTGTGGGAAGGAAACCCCTGTCTCCTGGCTAAACTCTGAATTCACTCCTGTGAGGTCCACAAGGTACTCAGAGATCTGTAAAGGCCATAGATGAACCCCTGGCCAAACCTGGAGCTGATTGCTGCATTGCGATAAAATTCTAGCCCCTGTCACAGTTATGAGGCTCCGGTCACATGGTCTGCCCAGGGTCCTCATCTCCCAGCACCACCCCCTTTACCCCTGTCAGGTCCCCCTGTCCTGTGAATAGCTGCTCTGGGTCCTGGAAGGCCTGTGTTTCCTCCTAGGCCCTCAGGGGAGGTTTGTGGATGTGACTGGTGTTGCTGGAGGGCTTCTCTCCAGGTTCCCCAAGCCCCGCAGTCCCGAAATCCACTTATAAAATAATCACTCAGACGCTTGTATCACTTATAAACTGTATGGCTGTGGCAGGCTTCTTGCTAACTGTTCTTATATCTTAAATTAACCCATTTTTATAAATCTATAGCTTGCCACGTGGCTGGTGGCTTACCGGCTTCTTTACATGCTCTTCTCCTGGCGGTGGCTGCAGTGTCTCTCCCCCCTTCTTCCTGTTTCCCCAATTCTCCTCTCTCTTTGTCCCGCCTATACTTCCTGCCTGGTCACTGGCCATCAGTGTTTTATTTACATAGAGTAATATCCACAGCAGACTGGGGGTAGAGGTAGAGCCAGGATCTCCCAGTGAGAGGTTGGGGGTGTGGGCTAAGAGGTAAATGATGGATGTGGAGGTGCTATGAGAACACAGGATGGGGGAGTGTCCCACTCTGATGTCTGGGATTTCCTGGATGAGGGCAAGGATCTGTGAGGATTTGAGGGTCAATGACTACCTTCTGCATCCTCTTCGATATTCAAGTCAGAAAATCCATTATCACCAGACCCATCTGCACACGGTAGCAACAGACTCGTCCTCCTGACAGATTTGTGTCTCTGTATGCAGCCTGTCATGGTCCCACCATTGCTCATACCATACTAAATTTTGTATTAGATTTACTCAATTTTTTTTATGTGTGAGTGTTTTGCCTGCATGTATGTATGCACACCACTTGCATACCTGGTGTCTCTCAGAGATCAGAAGCAAACATTTGGATCCCCTGGAAGTGGGATTACAGATGGTTGTAAACCACCATGTGAGAGAGCTGGGAATCAAACCCCAAGTCTTCCAAAGAGGAGCAAGTGCTCTTAACCATGGAGCCACCACTCCAGCCCAAGGAGTTCCTTTTGAAGATTTATTTTTTACTTTTAATGACGTGTATGAGTGCCTGCAGAGGCCAGAAGAGGGCATCAGGTCCCCTGGAACTGGGATTATAGGCGCCTAACAGGGATGCTGAGGACCAAACCCAGATCCCCTGCAAGAGCAGTATGCATTCCTAACCACTGAGCCATCTCTGCAAACTCCTATCATGGTTCCTTCATACCTGATGGTGTGAGCAAGTGTGTGTGTGTGTGCATGTGCATGCATGCAAGTGTGCACACATTCACCAGCTAGAGGTGGACCCAGGACCTCGTTCACGCTGAGTAAGCACTGTACTCCAGAGCAGTGGTGAACACTTGGGTTTGCAAGGTGGGTGGGCACAGGGTGATTGCAGTGAGACTTTGATTCTTACGGCAGTCATGGGGAGAAAGCACAATGACCTTGAGCTCCCTTCCCCCCAGTTTCACCAACTAGGGTGGGGCTCTGGTCCCTCACAGGTTTCTCCTTGATTGAAGCCAGCCTGGGGCCAACCGGCATGGCTAACACATTTGTGTTGATGCTGGCAGGACACCTACCCTTCAGCAAGCTGGCCAGCCATCTGCCCAGGCTATGCCAAAGATGGCTCTTGCCCTTCCTGGAAGGCCCTGCCTCTTTCCAGTTCTCAGCCACTGAAAGGAGCATCTTCGCTGGTAGCCAAGCCTGACATCCCACGCTCCGCAATAAGGGCGGAGGAGGAGATGAATGGTACATGAGTGCTGGGTGGGAGATCTCCGCAAAGCTCTCGGAAGCGATGGCTCTCCAGCATCTGCCGCCAGGACCTGTCACCCCTCCAACTCATCAATGAAAGTCACAGATCCCATCTAAGAACTCCCAGCCTCCACTGTGACTTTAGATGCCCACACATGAGCCAAGCCAGCCTCTGACTGCTGAATGGGGGGGGGGGCCCGCGGGCGGGTGGGAAGGTCTTTCTTTACACACCGGATTTGAAATTTGCAGTCCTGCATTAGCATGTCCGCTTCTGTGTGAGCGGCCTGCAGTGCCATTAGTAGGAGCAGGCAGCTGGCCGCTGTAGCTGTGAGGCTTTCTGCACTGGGGGAATGTGTGCAGCATTAGGATGCTGCATTTGGAACACAGGGCACAAGGGTTTGCCCTGCCCCTCCCCCTGGGTGCAGT